AGGTGGTTGTGAAGCAGAAAGTCAGTCTTATTGTACCAACATTTCATTGCAGCTTGCCGTGGCTGAATACTGTACGCTTTCTGTCACTGAATGCACTAACACCCAAAAAATATTACCGCCAGCGCCGGCTGTAAATGGATCTAACTCTTTAAACGAAACAATAGTGGTTGTGAATCAGAAAGTCAGTTATTTTAGCACAATCGGTCAATTGCAGCTTAGTCCCTGGTTGGCTGGAAACTGTACGTTTTATGTCACTGGAACATGCACTAATCACCCAAAAAATATTACCGCCACCACCCGGCGTGTAATGGATCTAACCTCTTCCCATTGAACGTAACAATGTGGGACTTTGTGAATGCAGAAAGTCAGTTTTATTGTACAATCTCAGGTCAATTGTGCAGCTTTGCCGTTGGCTGGAAACTGTACTTTCTGTCACTGGAATGCACTATATCACACCAAAAAATTTACCGCCAGCCGCGTGTAAATGGATTCTAACTCTTTGAACGTCAACAATATGTGAGTTGTGAAGCAGAAAGTCATTTATTTAGCACAATCGGTCAATTGCAGCTTTGCCCGTTGGCTGGAAACTGTACGTTTATGTCACTGGAATGCACTAATCACCCAAAAAATATTACACCTTACCCGTACCCTAACCCGGCGTGTAATATGGAATTTAACTCTTTGAACGTACAATAGTGGTTGTGAAGCAGAAAGTCAGTTTATTTGTACACAATCGGTCAATTGCAGCTTGCCGTTGGCAGGAAACTTACGTCTTGTGTCACTACCTGGAATGCACTAATCACTGCCAAAAATATTACCCCAGCAAGCCGTACGTTAAATGAGATTTAACATCACTTGAACGTCACAATAGTGGTTGTGAAGCAGAAAAGTCCCCGTTTATTTTTTCGGCAAACTGCAGCACCAACTGTGCACGACAGCCACCAAAAAAAAAAAGGGTGTATGTCACTTTTATTTCGATTTTTCGATTCTCTAGAACTAGTCCCTGTGGTCCCTGAGTAACGATTCTGTAACAGAAATGTCCCTGAGTAACGATGATCTGTGTCCCTGAGTAACAATTCTGTTGATTCTTTGTCCCCTGAGTAACGATTCTGTGTCCCTGAGTAACGATTCTGTGTGCCCTGAGAGTAACGATTCTGTGTTCCCTGAGTAACGATTCTGTGTCCCTGAGTAACAATCATCTGTGTCCCTGAGTAACAATAGTAACGATTCTGTTGGCCCTAAAAAAGTCTCTGTGCCCTAACTCTGAACCCTTAATACAGACAGGTCTGTCTCCTCTTGAATGACCGGAGGCTAATGGAGAATTCTAAGATGGCCGCGATTTATAGCTCCACCATTACACAGTGCTGGCTGGCTGCTGATTGGCTAATGCGATCACATGTCATGATTCATGACTCATGAATGCATAACTGGTCAGCGCGCCTTGTCTGCGCGCCTATCCCAGAGATCCCCGCCCCATCTTCTCTGTCCATTTTCTCCTGTCGCCACACATGTCGCCGCCCGCCATTTTTGGAAAATTCGATTCGTGCAATCCGAAAGTTTGCTAATCTTCGGATTCGTCGCGAATCGAATTTTTTTCCAAATCTTCGGAACGAATTCCACTTCGTCATGTTTCGATTTCGCTCATCTCTATGATTATGAGCAAATAATGCCAACTATAATATATATACTGCTCAAAACATAGGCATATATGCCTAGACATGGAAACTAGGAGATAACTAAAGATATGGAAAAAAAGAGTTTAAAATAAGTAAATCTGATATACACAGCTAAAAAAATTAAAGAAACACTTTAAAAAAACATCAGGATCTCAATGTGGAAAAATATCATGCTGGATATCTATACTGAATGGGACTGGGTAATGTGTTAGTAATGAGGGATGCCCCAGGAGACTTGAATTCAAAGACACCCCAAAAATCAAAGTGAAAAAATGAACGCAGCAGGCTAGTGCATTTTGCTGTAATTTTTAATTGCACAACTCAAAATGGTACTCATAGTTTTGTATGCCCCCCACAAATGCTTGATATGCATGCCTGACAATGTTGGGGCATTCTCTTAATGATAAGACGGTATTTCCTCCCAGATCTGGATCAGAGCATCACTGAGCTCCTGGACAATCTGAGGTGCAACCTAGTGCGTACAGAAGGACCGAAACATGATATCCCAGGAGTGTTCTATTGGATTAGGACATGCAAGTGAGGGGGTCATTCAATGGTCCTCAATTCCTTCTTCCTCCAGGAACTGCCTGCATACGTCTCGCCACATGAGCCAGACATTGTCGTTCACATGCAGGAGGAACCCAGGACCCACTGCACCAGCTAGGGTCTGCAATAGGTCCAAGGACTTCATCCTGATACCTAATGGCAGAAATTAGGGTGGCATTGTTTAGCCTTTAGGAGCTTCGGTGCGTCTCCTCTCCATGGGTATGCCTCCCCAGATCATCACTGACCCACCACCAAAATGGTCATGTTGAACGATGTTACAGGCAGCATAACATTCTCCACAGCTTCTCCAGACCCTTTCACATCTGTCACATGGCCACAGGGCGCCAGTGGCGGACCAACCAATTCTGGTGTTCAATTGGGCAAATGCCAATCAAGCTCTATGGTGCCAGGCAGTGAGCACAGGGACCTCTAGAGGACTTCAGGCCCTCAGGCCACCCTCATGAGGTGTGTTTCTGATTGTTTGGTCAGAGACATTCACACCAGGGGCCTGCTGGAGGTCACTTTGTAGGGCTCTGGCAGTGCTCCTCCTGTTCCTCCTTGCACAAAGGAGCAGATACCATTCCTGCTGATGGGTTAAAAGGGCCTTCTATGGCCCTGTCCAGCATTACTCCTAGAGTAACTTCCTTTCTCCTGGAATCTCCTCCATGCTCTTGAGAACTGTGCAGGGATTCCAGTTACCTCCATGGCCACAGGTGTATAAAAAATCAAGCACCTAGGCATTCAGACTGCTTCTACGAATATTTGTGAAAGAATGGGTCCCTCTCAGGAGTTCAGTGAATTCAAGCATGGTCCATCCGTGAAATTTCTTTGCTACAAAATATTTCACGGTCAACTGCTGGTGGTATTATAACAAAGTGGAAGCAACTGGCAACAACAGCAACTCAGCCACAAAGTGGTAGGCCACGTAAAATGACAGAGCAGGGGTCAGCACATGTTTTCTTGTATTTGATTATTTGTTTATGTAAAGTAATTTTCTCCTGAGACTTGTAATGTGGGCCATACCTGTCTAGGGGGAAGGTATTTGTGTATAAATGCTGTGCATAATGTAGTCCTTGTTTTACTCCAACATTGGTTCTGTTTGATGCTTGGGGTGAATGTTTTATATTCTGGTTCCAGAGTGGAGGAAACTGTAGTTTAGCAAAGATACCCAGCCAGGGTGTCAGGAAGTATGTCACTACATATACACATTTTTTTTATTTTTTTTTTTTTACAAGCTATACTTACAAACCAAGCTTTTAAAACATTGACACACTTTGATAATATTAATTATGTTTATCTTATCTTCTTGGAATGTTCTAAATAATCAGAACCAGAACTTCATTCAAACTTTGGAAATCTTTGGCTTGATTTTCAATATGCTGTATATATTGACATTTTACCTATAGATGTGGAATGAGAATGAAGAATTGATTAGTGATTAAGATCTTTCAAGCATATACAGTAGTGTGCAGATTTAGATATTCTATGAATAAAAATGATAGAAATAGTATATTTAAGCATAATAAGTAACTTTATATCTTAACAGTTTGAGATAAAAATCTACCTTTTATATGGATATCCACACTGTTTATTATCATACATTATTTTTTGTTGATGTTATAGTTTAATTCTGTCTTTAGGCAATGCCACTAAATATCAGAGGTTAGTGATGATTGAAAAAGAAGCATGATTCATTTAGAGTCTGTGTATTTGTATGTAATGCTCCTTCTTTTCTCTGTCATTAAATGCTGTGTATGTGTATCTATAGTTGGCTTTTTAAAGAATGTCTATTTAAAGAATAAAGAATGGCTATTTAAAGAATATCTGACATTTAGTAAAATAATGTCACTAGCATTAATCATTTAAAACAACTTTAGATTTGGTTGAATTAGTTTTAATACATATTTACCGGCAACATTTTATTGATATTCAAATGTACAGAAAGAAACACTCTGTGAAGTAGACATCACTTTAAATCTCAATGTGATATACAATAAAATAATTTAATATTAAAATAAATAACTCTGCAGCAATAGTGCAAGCCAAAAAAAACAACATCAAATACAAACAAAATGTCAAATACACATTGGAATGTTGAAGAGTATATTTTTTATAGTGGACCTAAATTTAAAAGTGAAGATTTGCTATATTAGGGAACATCTAGAAATGCTACTTGTGTCTACGGTGTACCCTGAAAATATATCTTTTGCATTGAATTCATCTTGAAATATAGCAGTGCACTTCTTGTGCCTAGACCTTTCTGTGTCTTTAGCTCATAGCTGTGTATAAGCAGTGTGAGATTTAGGGTACTGCTGCCCCTGACTTCTAATCCCACAAAATAGGAGTGAGATGGTGATATCACTACTGTGCTGTTCACTGTTCTCCTTGCTGGTGATGAAGCTGTACCTGAGGACCTGCAGGGCAAGGATGTCACTGGTTCTGCTCTTCCATTCCTTGGATTTGTGCTTCTTCCACCTTCCCTGTTGTTCTTAATTATTGCCCCTCTAGTCATTAGATCACCAATCATCAGAAAGGCAGAAGAAAGCATAGCCCTCTACTTGTGAGATGGGTGCTTTCACAAGGAGACCTGGTGTGGAAAAAGGTAAGCCAATAAGGGGCAAAAGATTCAGCTGTAGGGAGATTACAGGCAATACTGGTGACTAGTTCCTTGTTCCCTGCTTGTCTTTTTAAGCAAAGCATTACAGTAAAAATCCTATTTAAGTGCATGAAACTGTTACTATATTCTTATGTTTTGCAAATTTTCTTTTTTTAAATTAGGTGAAAAAAGTAATGAATCGCATCTACCACCAGAATTATAGAATACACGAAAAGACAGTGAGGACGTCTGCAGCAAATATAATACTGAACAACAACCCTACTTACATGGAAGTAAAAAACATGCTTCTTTCTATTGGGCATCTTCCACTAGAAATGAACAAGTACATGCTCTCTGTGTTCCAAGATATCCTTCGTTTCCAGATGCCTGCCAGGTACCAAAGATCCCAGGGAAGCAGTGGACCAATGCCACCATAGGCAAAAATGTTTATTCAGTCACCTGGAATAATTGGGCTTATTAAAGGCAGTAGTGCAAAATGCAGTAACCTGTAGCATTTAAGCAAAAATCAACCCTAAACTTAACTGGCTTAGCTGCTATGGATTATTGCATTTTGTACTGCTTTAATAAATTGTATGTCAGAGCAAAAAAAAAAGTGCAATAAATATCTGCATCACATGCACATTTCTCCATGTTTTATCCCCATAAAGACAATGCATACAGAAACATACCTGTTGATGTGCCATAATTGCACTCTGCTACTAAGTGCTGTTGTGGACTGACAACACAACATACACTGACAACACATAGGATATGGACTGAATGGTGTCAGCTCTGCCCAATTGTCTTTTGCTAAACTACTCAAACTGTCCCCTATCCTATTCTCCACAACATAAAGACTCCCTGTAGTCCTAAGGAAGAACTGGAAGATACATTTAAGCTCGTTGAGACAATACAAAAAATTTCCACAAGACACAGGGTAGTTATACATTTTTGGGAAGATTAACATGTTTGCACTAACTGAACAGATAAGTCTCGGTTCACACTACTGCTACTTGAAAGTCGCACGACTTGCAGTGCGACTTTTCCAGGCAACTTGAGTACTACTTTGAAGTAACTCTGAAGCAACTTTCAGGGAATGCCTGAGTAATCTTCCTGTAATGTCGGATCCAAATCACATCATTATAGATGGGGATCCGACTTGGAGGCGACTTCTATTAAAGCTATGGGCACAAGTTGGATAGAAGTCACCTTGAAGTAGTACAGGAACCTTTTCTAAAGTTGGAGCGACTTCAGTAGTGCTAATTAAGCTGGCTCTCATTGACTAACATGGGATTTCACATGCCATGCGACTTGGGGTCTCACAAGTCGGATCCCAAGTTGCAGCAGTGTGAACCAGGCCTAAAACAAAATGTTTTCATTAGTGAATTTAACAGATCAAAAGAGAACAAATAATACACAGTAATACCTCGGTTTATGAATTTAATTCGTTCTGCAGGACCTTTTGTATAGCAAAAAATTTGTAAACCAAAACACCGTTTCCCATAGAAATGCACTGAAAACCAATTATATAAGTTATTAAGTCATGCAGTATTTTAGTAGTGACAACCATATGTTAATGTTTCAGCTCTCAGCGGGGTACCCCACTGACAGCTGAATGTAAAAGAATTGCCAGCAAATAAAAATATTGGTTCCCCCTCCCATCCATACCAAGCCCTGTCCCTTCTGGTCTGGTATGGATTTTGATTTTTTTTAATTTAAAAACAAATGATGTGGGGGGTCCCCCCTAAAATCCATACCAGACCCTTATCCGAGCATGCAGCCCAGCAGGTCAGGAAAGGGGGGGGGGGGGTGAGCAAGTGCCCCCCCCCCGAACCATACCAGGCCACATGCCCTCAACATTAGGGGGTGCTTTGGGGCAGGGGAGAGCCAAAGCACTTTGTCCCCATGTTGATGTCTGCAGGCAGGGGGCTTATCGGCTTATCGGAATCTGGAAGCCCCCTTTAACAAGGGTGCCCCCAGATCAGCGCATCACGCAGCTCCCTATTTTTGTTGTTTTGCTTAAACTTTATGCTAAGTTTACAAAACATACACTTCATTCACTGCAACGTAAGGCAGTGTGATGCACTGTGCTGACGTACATTGAAGTGCGATTCGGCATGGTGCGCTGTGATAAAATGGAGCATGTCCTCACTTTACCGCAGCACGCTGCAACCTAGCACTAGACTGCATTACAATGTGAATGGGACTCACAGGAAACAATTGTTTCCTGTGTGTCCCTGTGGTGACAAGTGATTTACAATGCAATAAAATGTTTGTCACCGCATATAGCAATGGAATTGCTTGTACATTCTGAACGGACTTAATTGTTTGCTTTTAGTAAGCTTGCTCGTGAAGTTTTGAAGGATATGAAGGTTCATAACTATGACCGCTTCTCAAAACCTGGATCCTCCTCTGCCTATTCTGGATATATAACACGTATGTATCAGATTTAACTTTATTACCTTTTTTTTTTAAAACTGCATGCACTGGCAAAAAAAAAAATCAGTACATCTCTCTAATCTTTCAAAATCAATATATAAACCGTATATTCACTGCGCAAATGTGCCTGAAAATGTGCACAATAAATCACTCACCTAGATAAATAAAAGAGTACATAAAATGTATAAGCATGCAGCTGCCCTAATAGTGAATAATCCAATAATCACCTCATAAAACAATGACAAATAAAAGCAACGCAAAAAAAAATATATATATAAAAAAAAACAATAGCAAAGTGAAAATATGACACAAAATATAGCACTTCATTTAGTATACACAAATATTTAAATCATATGACATAAGTCCACCAACTAAAAAATGAAAATTGTGATGAAGTACAAAGTCCTTATTGATCCATCAAGATCACCATGTGAACAGCATAATGATAATTATACATAATGATACAGCGCTGAGCAAACCTTTTAGCGCTATATAAATACTGTATAATAAATACTGTATAATAATAATAATTGGTTGAATAAAATGCACTCAGATATCAACACGTTATCCAGAGGAAAACCTCCCCCAATTCAGTGGCACTCACCAGATATCGTGGCCCATCGAAACCTGACAGGCAATAGCACTTGTGGTGAGTGTCAGCGTAGTACAGATCATCAATCAACAAGCCCTTCATCAATTAGAGACTGATATGATGGCGGGACATCCTCCAAACTATTACACTCCGTAATCATGGAAACATGTGAAAGGAAACTCATGGCGTGAATCCATTAAAAACCATTTATTGGATAGAAAGTATTATGTCGTGCGGCTCAGCCCTGACAAGTGTTTCGTCACCAGACTTTATCAAAGGGTTGATAAAGGAAATTTCACAGATGGACTTATTGCACAGGTGGCAACCTATCACAGTAGCACGCTTGATATCACTGAGCTCCTGAGAGCGACCCATTCTTTCACAAATGTTGTAGAAGCAGTCTGCATGTCTAGGTGCTTGATTGTATACACCTGTAGCCATGGAGGTGATTGAAACACCTGAATCCAATGATACTTTTGGCAATTTAGTGTATATATATACATATATATATATATATAGCATATATGGCATATGTTAATTTTGATTATTAACTTTTAATTTTATAGCTTCTAAATTAATATTCTCATTCATTCAGGTGGCCCTTACTCATCAGCAACATATAGTCTTGACATTCTTTACTCTGGTTCAGGCATCCTAAGAAGAAGCAACATGGATACCTTTGTCTATTCCAAAAATACAGAACTGCATGCCATTCAGGTAATTAGGAGCATAAACAATTTAATTATCAGCTACAAATAGCCTGGTAGGATATTCTTGCTTATTCTGTGTGGTGTCCTTTAGGCCTTGTCCTGAAGACTGAGAACTTCCTCCAAGATGTGTTGCCTGACATGTTATATTTCATGCTAAATTAGCACCTCAACAGCTGAAATGCAGTCCAGGACCTTGAGAACTGCATGTGTAACAGGATCATAGCACAGGGAAATACACCTGTGAAATATAACAGATGGTTTTCCTTGCTTTATTGCTTATTATTTTTAAATGTATTAATATTTTAAAAATGTTAATATTATTATTCTGCACACAATGAATCTTTTAAGGAAACTTTATTGAAAATCTTGGTCAATGCAGGTAGTTCTCAAGTCTACATAACGGTACAAAAACAATGCTAGGATAAACAGAATTTTGGTCCATGAATGAATCAATACATTTGCCTTTTTATTTACTCACATTTACAGTCAGGTCCATAAATACTGGGACATCAACACAATTCTAACATTTTTGGCTCTATACACCACCACAATGGATTTGAAATGAAACGAACAAGATGTGCTTTAACTGCAGACTGTCAGCTTTAATTTGAGGGTATTTACATACAAATCAGGTGAACGGTGTAGAAATTACAACAGTTTGCATATGTGCCTCCCACTTGTTAAGGGACCAAAAGTAATGGGACAATTGGCTTCTCAGCTGTTCCATGGCCAGGTGTGTGTTATCCCTCATTATCCCAATTACAATGAGCAGATAAAAGGTCCAGAGTTCATTTCAAGTGTGCTATTTGCATTTGGAATCTGTTGCTGTCGACTCTCAAGATGAGATCCAAAGAGCTGTCACTATCAGTGAAGCAAGCCATCATTAGGCTGAAAAAACAAAACAAACCCATCAGAGAGATAGCAAAAACATTAGGCGTGGGCCAAAACAACTGTTTGCAACATTCTTAAAAAGAAGGAACGCACCGGTGAGCTCAGCAACACCAAAAGACTCGGAAGACCATGGAAAACACCTGTGGTGGATGAGCAAAGAATTCTTTCCCTGGTGAAGAAAACACCCTTCACAACAGTTGGCCAGATCAAGAACACTCTCCAGGAGGTAGGTGTATGTGTGTCAAAGTCAACAATGAAGAGAAGACTTCACCAGAGTGAATACAGATGGTTCACCACAAGATGTAAACCATTGGTGAGCCTCAAAAACAGGAAGGTCAGATTAGAGTTTGCCAAACGACATCTAAAAAAGCCTTCACAGTTCTGGAACAACATCCTATGGACAGATGAGACCAAGATCAACTTGTACCAGAGTGATGGGAAGAGAAGAGTATGGAGAAGGAAAGGAACTGCTCATGATCCTAAGCATACCACCTCATCAGTGAAGCATGGTGGTGGTAGTGTCATGGCGTGGGCATGTATGGCTGCCAATGGAACTGGTTCTCTTGTATTTATTGATGATGTGACTGCTGACAAAAGCAGCAGGATGAATTCTGAAGTGTTTCGGGCAATATTATCTGCTCATATTCAGCCAAATGCTTCACAACTCATTGGACGCCGCTTCACAGTGCAGATGGACAATGACCCAAAGCATACTGCAAAAGCAACCAAAGAGTTTTTTTAAGGGAAAGAAGTGGAATGTTATGTAATGGCCAAGTCAATCACCTGACCTGAATCCGATTGAGCATGCATTTCATTTGCTGAAGACAAAACTGAAGGGAAAATGCCCCAAGAACAAGCAGGAACTGAAGACAGTTGTAGTAGAGGCCTGGCAGAGCATCACCAGGGATGAAACCCAGCGTCTGGTGATGTTTATGCGTTCCAGACTTCAGGCTGTAATTGACTGCAAAGGATTTGCAACCAAGTATTAAAAAGTGAAAGTTTGATTTATGATTTTTATTCTGTCCCATTACTTTTGGTCCCTTAACAAGTGGGAGGCACATATGCAAAATGTTGTAATTCCTACATTGTTCACCTGATTTAGATGTAAATACCATCAAATTAAAGCTGACAGTCTGCAGTTAAAGCACATCTTGTTAGTTTCATTTCAAATCCATTGTGGTGGTGTATAGAGCCAAAAATGTTAGAATTGTGTCCATGTCCCAATATTTATGGACCTGACTGTACATATTTTACATGCTTTAATATGTATAAACATTTTCTTAACACTACAAAAGCAACTCAAACAAAAAAAGTAAAAAAAGCTGTTAGAAAGGAAATTAAAATACTGTATCTGGTTCGTTGAACATAAATATGCATCGGGGCTGATTTATTAAAACCAGAGAAAATGAAATAAGACCAAAAGTAGAGCTGTTGTCAGTAGCAGCCAATTGGGTTTAACCAATTTCAAAAGGGAAAATAGTACAAGAATCCTGTTTGGTGGGTAAGATGAACATATCTACTTTTGTGTTAATTTTCTTATCTCAAGTTTTTATGAATCAGCCTTACTTACCTTCTCAAATCTAGCATACTACCTATATCATGAAACAAGACGTACTGAATAATCATTTACAATGCCTTCAGACTGCAGAAGCCCCTGGGGACAAACAAAAAGAATAAAAAAGAAAGTTTTGGAATTATACAGTCTTGAACAAAGTATATTAGGTATGTTTCTTAATATGTTAGGATGGTGTACAGTTAGATGGTTGGTCCTCATAAAAGTGATATATTAGTTGTAGATGAATCATATTGGTCAATGCCTGATTTGTTATATGTCTTGTGTACTCCATCAGCAAGATCTCCTTACACTAATTCGTGACTCTCCTCCTATACACTTATTGGTTTTTGTTTTGTTTTGTTTTTTGCATTGATGCCCTCTGTTGTGGATTCCAGACCATCCTTTGGCATTCTCTTATAATAATGATAAAACTTCCAACAAGGAGACCTGGGCATCCTCACAATGACCACAGCAGGCATGCAGACCAAACCAAGTGCAGAGATCGTACATATAGAGTTCAAGAGAGATATAAACTACAGTATTATCATGTGGTTTAACTCTCTAGCATCCACTTACAAATGTGAAATATAATTTGTGGTTGTACTAGCCCTTTATTAAAAGGATATAGGATTCTTAGGATAATTGTAAGGGTTCATCATTTAATTAATATTATGAAAGTTTTTGACAGTGGCAGGATATAGGAATTTTCTACCTTTAGGATATTATCCAATTAGCTGCTGAAACCACATGCACTTTCTTCATGTATGGACTAGTAACAAGCCAAATAACTTTACATGTTCCCTGTAACAATCATGCAGAATAGGGCATTCAGCAGTTTTAGTCAGTTCTAATTCAAATACTATTGCAATATTTTTCAACCCAATACTGTGTTTATTATAGGTTGTTATTGAAGCACAAGGACTTGAATCCCTAATAGCTGCAACTGCTGATGAAGGAGAGGAAGACTTGGAGTCCTTTGCTGGAATGTCGGCCATCTTGTTTGATGTCCAGCTTCATCCTGTAACCTTTTTCCAGGGTTATAGTGATTTAATGTCAAAAATGTTTTCAGCAACCGGTGACCCGATAAGTGTAGTGAAAGGACTAGTGCTGCTAACAGACCATTCTGAGGTAATAATGCACACAACTTTGTTTGACTTCATTTTTTTGTATATTCCTAAGTCCTAAGTGTGAAAGAACTTGTAGTACATCTGTGTTATTTCTATACCTGCTACACTACACACTGGTGATTAAGTATACATTTCCAGCGCTTACTAAATGTCATCTCATACTGCATTCCATAATGCTATCCCCCTTCACACATGCCTAGGTTTTGCAAGCATACGTGTTTTCACTCTACAGCTCACATCAGCTCACACAACACCTCACAGTATTGCATATCACCACTCTAGCAACCTTGACCTGCAGTCTGTCCAATATATTTTGGATAGAAATCTTTTTTTTTTTTTTTTTTTTTTTATTATTATTATTATTATCACCTTGGATACTTTATTAAGCTGCCCAAACTGACCGTGCTAGTTTTATATCCCTTTAAAGAGTTTTTTAGTGCTGCATCTAGTGCTACATCAAGGTAATCCAGTGCCCAGGGTGAAGATGCCAAACTGGACTACTCCCCCCACCATTCCCTTTTCCACCCATAATGTCTGAACAAGATTGTCTTCTGCTGCTAGGATCCCACCACTTTTCTCATTACAATGCACAGTTCCAAGGGTGCCAATCAGATTTCACATAGACCTAGATGTGTGCAGGGACAGTGCCTGCAGTGTGTTCCCTGTGCTGCTTGTGAATATCTCTGGACTGGCTAGAGAAAAAAATAAAAGGTAGAACAAAGATGCAGATTCATAGCCAGAAATCGCAGGGCCCCGTAGCAAACATTTTTAAAGGGCACTCAACAGAAGAAAGAAACACTATTGTACAAGCTTCCAAATGCCATGGCATATAATGAAGTTCAGAATGAGAAAGTGTAAAATGTATAGTATGCCACACAGAGTGAAACATAGCAGAAAAGGAAATTTACAGCACAGCATACATAACAAGGCAGTGTGAAAAATAAAAAAGTATAACGAGGCTTAAACCTGTGGCTGTCAGAATATCTACACAGTGACTGCATCTCTTTGCCATAACTGGGTGACAATTTTTCATTCAGGTTCTTCAATTATTCAGTCACTGATGGCCACTCAAGGCTCACATTTTAGCTGATTTAGCAAGAATCAGCCAATTGGAGGCATGCATAGCCAGCATTTAGCCTTGGTAATGGCATACTGTAGGGCAATATTTCTTAAACACAGCCCTCAAGGTCTGAGAATATTTCACTAGGTGTGGAGCAAACTTCTCACTGGCTCCATAGCAAACACCAACTTCTTGCAGGTCTATAAGGTGAGGGCAGTTATGGCAAAACTTTACTATAGGTCTGAGATATAGGCAGATTTTGCTTTACTGTGTGTCCTCAAACTTTAACCTGGTAGGAGTCTGTCTAATCTAACATATCAGTACCAGGTGGCTCCTTGAGGGCATTGAGTATAGCATGTAGATGAATAATTCATAACTAGCAATTGGCGAATCTGCCTGGGTTTAATTCACTAAGGGTTTTGTTAATCTTGTTCAAAGTTTGACAAATCCACTCAAGTCTATAGGAGGCAAATCCTGTTATTAAATCTGACCATTTGTAGAACTAATAGGCAAACACCTGTGAAAAAAAAAGCTGGACACTGTCAAGGAGAACATGTACCAGTGTGAAAAAAAAAATAGAGCAGAGACAGGTTCTTTTTATGTGGCTTCAAGGGCCACATTGAACATATCCTTGAAATAACATGTTTGGGGATGCCTTAAAGCTGTACATGGTATATATAAAGAAACAAAATGTTACCATGGAACTTTTTAGGTACCAAAAAAAATAGCAAATTAAGTTAAAAAGATAACAATTTATTGATTACATAAAATTAAAATCACAATATTAAAATCTTGCAACATAGTTGTAGTCCTTGTGATTAATTTTAGCTTACGAGTAGGTACTCCGACATATTTCGGCTCACCTTTCGCTATGGCTTCTTCAGGGAGATTTATTGACTAAATGAAGTGTATACATTCATCCCGAATCTCATCAGGTGTTCACAAAGGACCAGGGGCGGACTGACCATTTGGAAACTCGGTCACTGCCTGGGGTCAGTAGGGGGCCCCATGAGATGCCCCTGGTAGCTTTTTCATAGGCTTTTTTGAGTTTGGGCAAGGACACAGGGGCCCCATGATCCCCTATTGCCCGGGGGCCCCATGAGTTGTCAGTTTGCCCCTGCAAAGGACCATGTACTAACTTGTGTAAAACCATTAATCAAAGTCATGCGGAAAACTCAATGCAATTAAAAAGATGAAATCATCACAAGAGCAGTAATGGCGAGGGCATCTCTCTTGGACTCCAGCCATCGAAGCTTGCAGTTGCATCCCAATCTAATTTATTTCAGGAGGGTTTTTAACCAACAGATTTTTCCATTAAATAGAACTAGACCCGCTTAGCTTGGCACAGTGGTCAGTAATGCGCTGTGGCTGACCCTGTTCTCATTGATGCAAAACTGTCAGCTAGCCAATTTCTATCAAGCTCTCTTTAAAGAATTAAATAACCACAGATGATGCAACAGTGTAAAACTAAACAAAAGGACATATTCATTGAGAGAAAAATTGCTAAAATGTACTAGAGAAAAAGAGTTCATGAAGGTGTTTTACTACATGAAGAGACCACAGATGACACAGTAGTATAAAATTGTCCATCAGCAGGACAAATATAAATAGGAAGACTAGGCCTAAATTTACTAGAGACAAAGAGCACAGGCTGTAGTTTCACCACAAGAATTAAGATACTGCACAGGATACAGTAGTGTACAATTGGCAAGTAGTGGGAAATTTTGAATCAATCATCAAGGGCCAGAATGTACTACAGACAAGGGGTATGTGCAGGTGTTTAACTACAAGAATTAAGATACCTCAGATAATATATAGAAGTGTAAAACTGGCCATCAGCAGGACAACTTTAGGAGGCAATGCTAGGCCCAAATTTACTAGAGAAAAGAGCACAGGATGGTTCTACTACAAGAATTAAGACACACCAGTGTAAAACTGGCCAGCAGTGTGCCTTTTATTTATTTTATGGGGATAAGGGGTGGCATAAAGTGAGTGATAAAATATTAGGTGGCTTAACTGCGCACTATTATTGCACCTCTCTTTTTTTTTTTTCTTTCAAGGCTAGTGGCAAGCTGCTGACAGAAGGCAGCTCCTATTAGCATACAAAAAATACCCTCTAAATAAATGGACCCCAAAATACCACCTCCTGAAACAAAAAGCCCATTTTTTAAAATCAACCACAAAATAAAATGATCTCAAATAAGCGTCAATATAAAAATACAATGAATTGAGTAAAATACAAAAAAGCCCCAATTTTAAAAACAAAAAGAAAGCAAATGAGTTGATTTGTAAGAACTTAAGAACTAGCAATCAGAATTAAAGTAGAGTTTTCTATCTGACGCTGTTTGTCAGCTTTACCTATGCTTTCCCTACGACAGTTTCCAATTCACTACAATGGCTGTCCCCCCATCCCATCTTTTTTAAAGTGAGACTGCTGGCTTAACCAAAAGCTCCCTTACTGCCCTTTCTAAGCTGGCTGGACATTACATTTTAACAGTGGGAGAAGCCTAAGGGGCATGGTTAAACAAAACCCAGGCTTCCTTGTACCTATAAAATATGCTTTGATTGCTGTGCCACAAGCAAGAGTCTCATGGACACAAACCCCAACACAATCATTTAATAAAAAGAATAAAAAGCTTCCATTACAAATGGTTTAGCTCAAACTGTGGAAGAGTGCGGAAGTGTGGAAGGATTCAAGAATGCATTATACACAGAGTCAGGATTCAGGAGTGCATTTCATACAGAGCACAGGATTCAGGAATGCATTAGGTACAGAGTGCAAGGTTCAGGTGTGTGTCTCATAGAGAGCACAGGATTCAGGAATGCATTAGGTAAGGAGTACAAGGTTCAGGTGTGTGTTTCATACAGAGTGCAGGATTCAGGAATGCATTAGGTACAGAGTGCAAGTTTCAGTATGCATTTCATACAGAATACAGGATTCAGGAATGTGTTAGGTACAGAGTGAAAGTTTCAGGTATGCATTTCATACAGAGTGCAGGATTCAGGAATGCATTAGGTACAGAGTGCAAGTTTCAGGTATGCATTTCATACAGAATACAGGATTCAGGAATGTGTTAGGTACAGAGTGAAAGTTTCAGGTATGCATTTCATACAGAGTGCAGGATTCAGGAATGCATTAGGTACAGAGTGCAAGTTTCAGGTATGCATTTCATACAGAGTGCAGGATTCAGGAATGCGTTAGGTACAGAGTGCAAGGTTCAGTAGTGCTTTTCATACCGAGCACAGGATTCAGGAATGCATTAGGTACAGAGTGCAAGGTTCAGTAGTGCGTTTCATACCGGCACAGGATTCAGGAATGCGTTAGGTACAGAGTGCAAGGTTTAGTAGTGCGTTTCATACCGAGCACAGGATTCAGGAATGCGTTAGGTACAGAGCGCAAGGTTCAGTAGTGCGTTTCATACTGAGCACAGGATTCAGGAATGCGTTAGGTACAGAGTGCAAGGTTTAGTAGTGCGTTTCATACCGAGCACAGGATTCAGGAATGCGTTAGATACAGAGCGCAAGGTTCAGTAGTGCGTTTCATACCGAGCACAGGATTCAGGAATGCGTTAGGTACAGAGTGCAAGGTTCAGTAGTGCGTTTCATTAGGAGCATGAAAAAATATTTCTGTACCCTATAGATAAGAATGTAAATCAGAGCTGCAATGAGCCTTCTCTGATTAAAAATGCTATCTAGATGCAGAATTCTAAATTCTTTTTCATTTTTTTTATTACAACAAACACCGCTCAATGGAGGTTGAGTGTTATGCGGGCTCAATACACAAAAGCAAAGCATTAACATTATATGTCATGGTCTGCTTGGCTGCAATTGAGACATTGGCTATGGAAGTACTGCATATGGTACACAAAGTATGTAATTCAGACAAAGCTGGATTAAAATTAAGGTGTGATGTGAACAACAGTAATAGCTTCCTTGATTTAAGAAGTTGTGCGGCTGCAAGGTCCATGAGGAACTATGAGAGAAAACAGACTTAAGTCAGAGAGTTGTTACACCAGCCTAAGGCACTCTGTTTTTAGCCATGTTAATGTAATTTTAAAAATTTTATTGGACTCAAGTGAAAATAACTTACATTACTATGTGCAATAAGAATCCTTATCCTGGTTATTAGCTTTGTGAATTGAACCTAATGTCTGCACATGCTATATAAAGTGACAATGAGAGACCTTTTGTTATATATTGGATGATTTCAGTCAGGGGAATGAAGGTTTCAATGAAAAAAATGTGAATGTATTTATATTTTAAAATAATAAAAGGCTAAAGTAAAGTTTTAAATTATATATGTAGCACTATTCTCTTGAGGGCTGCTGAGTTCTTCTGGGGGCCCCTCCCAGGCTCCACACCAACAGCACCTTTCTCATTCCATTTTCCACCTGACTCCAACTCCTTCTGCTGATCAGGTTCTCCCATATTTAAGGGTTGTCCTAGCCACCATGCCAGACCTCCTACTTGGGAATTGGCCAGGTTCCCTCAGACATGCAAATCCAGGCCTCTTCCCCTCCTCCGCCCATCTTCTAAAAAGTACCAGCAGTTTCTAGAAGAGTAGAAGGGTTCCAGAAGCCCTGACCTGTAGAGCCTCCCAGCCTAACCTGAAGTGACCTTGCTGACTCACTCCTAGGCTGACTCATACCCAGGCTTCCAGCAAGCCTCTAAGTAAACACAAAAATCCTGCCTAAACGAGAGGACGCTACATATATTATAGTGACACACAACTTTTATCTTCTTTTGTCTGCATTTATCAGATCTCATGATCTGACATTAAATGCTGTGGTATAATGACATTAAAAGGGTTGCTTAGATGAAATAAGGCTGTTCAAGTTGCCCATGCAGAATGAATAGATCCACATACCTTATTATTATTACAGTATTTATAAAGCGCCAGCAGTTCGCTCAGCGCTGTACATTACAAAGGGAGACAGAACATGTGACAGTACGAAAACAATACAGTGTAATACATGAGGGAATCGAGGGCTCTGCTCTTTCGAGCTTACAATCTAGGAGGGAGGGGATAGTGGTACAGGAGGAGATAGCTGTGGGGAATGGAGTGGTAGGAAGAGTGGAGGAGGTCAGTAATACATGTCAGGTATGAAGAAGATTGTATCTTGCAATGTGTTTGTGCAGTAGAAATAAATACAGATGATCAGCACATTGATTATTTTGTGAAATATGAGTAGTATTTTGCAATATTATAGTGACAAATTTCGGATTCCCTCCCCCATCTTTCCCAATAATAATAACACTGTACTATTACTTTCTTAGACTATTCAGCTGCAGTCTGGGCTACAGGCCAGTGTTGAGTTCCAGGGTGGACTGGCCATTGATATCTCAGGAGGAATGGATTTCAGCCTGTGGTATCGGGAATCCAAAACCAGTGTTAATAACCGGTAAGATACCCTGTTATCACGCTCATTAAAAACAGATATCTGCCTGAATTCCAAAGCATGTGAAGTTTTTGTTTTCTAATATACATAATTGTACACAGGGGCAAAAAAGAAGCTATTGGTCTTTTTTAACAAGTCAGAGAAAAGTGCAGTTGTGTACTAAAAGATACCAACCAGTAAGACATTTTATCCATTCAGAGTAATCGGGACAATGAGAGATGATGCTGCCCTGCTGTAATGGAGGAGAGTTCTTTATACATTGGATTTTAGCCTCACTAAGCAAAGGTCCATGTGCCTAATTTTTTGACCCAGCTTACAAAATTGTATTAAATGATACTCATAAATAGCTGTGCAGTTACATATACAGTAACTCAATTCTTTTTTGTCATATTTTTGTTATATTAGAGAACATTTATAGGTTGAACTAGATGGACTCTTTTTTTCAGCCTTATGAGTTACAGTATGTAACTATGGGTGACTCGTAACATTAAAGCAAATATAAACTCAAAAACAATTATTTCCCTTATTGTAGTTTATCAGTCTCTAGATGTGTTGTGCTTGGATTCGTTTTCTTTTTCAGACTTTTTTCCTTTAGTTTCACCTAGCAATTGTGCAAATAACACACTTTCTGTCCTAGGGTAGATACACCTTTTCACTACACTGTATCTATGGACAGGGCTGTCTTTAAGGAGGGGCAAAAAGGGGCAGCTACCCTGGGCCCAGTAATTGTTGTGGGGCCCAAAGCAGCTGCCCCATGATTGCCAACTGTACTGGTTTACATTCCCTTGTCCCTGGAAGTCTTTGTCTTAGGCTGTGTCCAATATCTCAGTATCTTACTGTTGCCCAGCTCTGTCTGTACAAATGACTCATATGTGCAGACCATGTCAACATTCACATATAAAAAATGCTGGCATCATATGTAAATAGTGGCAGCATTCATATGTATATTATGACCCCAGAGGTTCCAGCCACCAACACCTCTGCTAGTGGTCAGTGTAAATCCCCCCTTACATTGGTGGCTAGTGTAGAAATGTATTGGTCGTTGGTGTAAAATTCCCCATTACATTGGTGGTCAGTGGAAATTCCCCAATACATTGGTAGCCAGTGAAAATTTCCCTTTACATTGGTGGTAAGTACAGAATTGCCCTTACACTGATGGTCACACACCCCAAGCACTGCCATTGATCCCATCCCCCCAAGCACTACCACTGATCCCATCCCCCCATCATCATTGTCACTCGTCCCATCCCCCCAGTACTGCCATTTATCCCATCCTCCCCACCACTGCCACTGGTCCCATCTCCCCACCTCTGCCACTTATCCCATCAGCCCTTCCCCCAGCACTGCCACTGATCACACCCTCGCCCACAGCACTGCCATTGATCCCAGGAGTCCTAGGAGTGTTCTGACTACTGGTGGACCCCCTAACCTTCTCAGTCCATGATGGGCAGACAGTGAGGAGATAATGTGCTGTAACCTTCAGCAACCAATCAGTGAGAAGTAATTAAGTGCTCTAAACACTAGCAACCAATCAGTGAGTGGTAAGGATATGCAGTAACCTCTAGCAACCAGTGAGCGGTAATAATGAGCAGTAACCTCTAGCAACCAACCAATGACCAATACAGATGTGCAATAACCTCTAGTAACCAACCAGTGAGTGGTAAGGATATGCAGAAACCTTAAGCAACTAATCAATGAGCACTAATGATGTGCAGTAACCTCTAGCAACCAATCAGCAAGCAGAAATCATGTGCTGTAACCTCAAGCAACTAATCAGTGATCCAAAATGTGTGCTGTAACCTCTGGCAACCAGTCAGTGAGCGGTAAAGATATGCTGTAACCTCTGGCAATCAATTGCAATTGCTGCCTGATCTGCTGCAGTAAACTGATTTTGAGTTTAGCTGTTATTTATTGTATGTATCAGAGCAGTTGGAGAGGGAAATTGCATGGGGAGGGCCCAAGAAAATGTTTGTCCAGGGTCCAATCAATATTAAAGACAGCCCTGTCTATGGAGAAAGCCGTGTCTGTCACACAGGTGAAGGAACTTGACTGGCTTGCACAGAGTCCTGGCCTAACAGATAGAACACCTTTGGGATAATTTATAGTGGAGGCTGCGAGCCTGGCCTTCTTGTCCAACATTAATGCCTGACCTCACAAATGTGCTTCTGGAAGAATGGTCAAACGTTCCCATAGACACACTCCTAAACCTTGTGGACAGCCTTCCCAGAAGGGTTGAAGCTGTTATAGCTGCAAAGGGTGGGCCAACTCAATACTGAACCTTACGGACTAAGACTGGGATGCCATTAAAGTTCATGTCCGTGTGAAGGCAGGTGTCCCAATACTTTTGGCAATATAGTGTATGTGATTCTACATTTCCAGGTAGGGGTGGGCACACGGACGCGCATTCACCCTATCCACACTGCTATTGCCTCCTGAGGATGTTAATCACGGGTCCTGACCAGCGATTCCCGGACGGGACTCGGTGATCATCAGCGAAGCTGAGAGAGGGGAGATCTGTGTGTAAAGATCTCTCTCCTGTCAGCATGAACATGCTGCTTTCTATCTCTCTGCACAGCTGATAGATAGAAAGCAGCAGGTCTGCTAAGTAAAACAGCACACAGTACACAATAAAAACACACAATTAACCCTTTGATCACCCCAAATGTTAACTTCTTCCTTCCCAGTGTCATTAGTACAATGACAGTGCTTTTTATTAGCACTGATCACTGTATTAGTGTCACTGGAGATGTCAGTGGCAGTTATTCAGTTCCCCTCAGTGTCAGAATGCTCGTCGCAGTCCCGCTATAAGTAGCTGATCACCGCTATTACTAGTATAAAAAATTTTAAAATAAAAATTCCAGTATATATACCGCTTTTTTAGATGCAATAACTTTCACGTAAACCAATTAATATACACTTATAGGGATTTTCTTAGCAAAGACATGTAGCAGAATACATTCTGGCCTAAATTTATGAAGAAATTGTTTTTTTTATTTTTTTATTCCCACCCAGTGTCAGAATGCCTGCTGCAGTCCCGCACTCCCGCTATGTTGCTGATCGCCACCATTACTAGTATAAATAAATAAATAAATAAATAAAAAATATTTCAATATATACTGTATACTGCTATTTTGTAGTAGCAGAATACATTTTGGCCTAAATTTGTGATAAAATGTTATATTTAATCTTTTTTAATGGATATGTTATATAGCCAATAGTCAAAAATATTGGGTTTTTTTCAAATTTGTCAGTCTTTTTTTGTTTATAGAGAAAAAAAATAAAAACCACAGAGGTGATCAAATACCACCAAAGGATATCTCTATTTGTGGGGAAAAAATTATATAAATTTCATTTATGTACAGCATTGCATGACTGCAATTTTCAGTTAAAGTAACGCAGTGCCGTTTCGCAACAAAATGGCCTGGTCAGGAAGGGGGGTAAATCTTCTGGAGGGCAAGTGGTTAATCAAGCACCTCTAACTTCTTAGCCTTTTTGGATAAACTAGAGAAGGTTATAACTGTTGTGTCTTCTTAAGGGGTATTTCCCTGCATTTCCTCATGGCAATCTTTTCAAATTTGGGGAAACCCTGCCTTTCATTGGTATCACCAAACAGGTATACCCATTTCTCTCATGTTCTGGTTACAAACTTTTGATACCCTCTCTCTTTCTGCCTACCGATTGCAGTGATCCCCAGGACAAATAGTGAGGTTAGTTCTGGCATTTGAGATATGAATGACAGGGTAATTATCTTAAATTCTACAAGTAGTGGGCTTAATCTTAGCTAAAAGTCACATTCCTTTGTACAACCTTGACACAGGATTGAATCTGAATGCCTACACAGGTAGGTATATGAACACTCCACAAAGTACCTTCACTTCAGCTCTGATGTTACCTTCGAAATTTTGTAGGACATGTAAAGTTCTCCATCACCAGTTTTGGATGTGCTAGCCATTTAGGAAAATAAATATGTTTTGTGTGTTTATGAAGACAAGGTTGTTGTTTTCGCATACCATGTTGCCATATTTTCAGATTTCCTTCAACACTAATTAACCATGTTTATGTTTCTTATGTTTCTACAGTGGAGCTATGGTCATCACAGGCAACATAACTGTTGATTCAGGGTTTGCAAATGCTGGCATGGAAACCCGCATGGAAACTGAGTCTTCCTTTAACTTTCTTTCAACAGTGCAGTTTTCATCATATCCGTTTTTGGTGTGTATGCAAATGGATAAAGGAACATACCCATTCAGGTAATATTTTAATTTCTATAGGTAAATAGATAGATAGATAGATAGATAGATAGATAGATAGATAGATAGATAGGTAATCTCCAGGGGCGGACTGACCATTTGGAAACTCGGGCACTGCCCGAAGGTCCGGGGTCAGTAGGGGGCCCCATGAGATGCCCCTGGTACCTTTTTCATAGGCTTTTTTGAGTTTGGGCAAGGACACAGGGTCCCCATGATCCCCTATTGCCCGGGGGCCCCATGAGTTGTCGGTCCGCCCCTGGTAATTTCTATACTTCCTAAAACCTTTATATATTTACCCTACATCCATGAATGTTATATAGGGTGCAATCACATTTGTGAATGCACCCACACTGTGATTAGATGAAAGAACCTCAGTAGGGGTTCCCATGATTAGCTGCGAGAGGCAGCCCCAGGTTGATCACTTGCATGTGATCACTCCATGAGAGATTACAAGCGAATGGCCACAATTAGCTGTGAGAGTCAGCAGCCTCCGATAGGCTCCATTTACACTGGCTTAAAAAAATGCCAGTGCTCTTGGCAGAAAGAAGCACTAATTTTTGAACATTTTTTGTACTAGCGTTTAGGAGCATTTAGCAGTGTTTAGGATCGTTTAGTGTTTTTTTCTGCCAGAAAAATGCTCTGAAAAAATGCAAAACAGAAGGTTTTTTTTTCTGTCTCTAAATGCTGAGCTTAAAAAAATGTGCATGGGCACATTGGGTGATATTAGTTGCTTCTACAGGAAAAACACTAAACTCCTCTATAAGCAGCATTTTTTAAGCCAGTGTGCATGGAGCCTTAAAGCGGAGTTCCACTCAACCTATCAAAAAATAAAAGTCAGCAGCTACAAAAACTGTAGCAGCTGACTTTTAAAAAACAGCCACTTACCTGTCCCTCGGTCCCCCGGTGTGTCCCCCGCAGCTTGTTTCACCGGCCGTCCTGTATTCCAGGAGGCTGGCATCTTCAGTGTGGGCACCCAGCTGTGATAGCTTTCGGTTTCACAGCGGGTACCCACTGCACATGTGCAAGTAGTGCTGTGCTTTGTGAATGGTCCTGTAGTCTTCTGGGACCTGTCACTTGTCCTAAAAGGCTACAGGGAGGGAGGGAAACTTCCGCCTAGGCGATCAGACCGGAAGCGGGTACCTGTCAACTTCGGGTACCTGCTCCCCCCCGCTCCCCAAAGGTGCCAAGCCAATCCTTAATGGGGAGTGGAGGAGCAGTCCTTAAAGCGGAACTTCCCCTTTTGGGTGGAGCTCCGCTTTAAACTTTTTGTACATAATTCTTGCAGTCTTCTAAGGTTGCTTTAAAGTTAAAGTGGTTCTAAAGCCTTAAGATTTTTCACCTTACTGCAGCCCCCCAGCCACCTCCTTTTTCTTACCTGAGCCCGATCCAATGATGTGCACAAGAGCAGCTGCTCTCATTGCTGTCTCTCTCCTCCCTGAGCAGATTGATAGCAGTGGGAGCCATTGGTTCCTGCTGGGACAATCAAATGCTGTGACACTGGAGCGGGGGGCAGGGTCGAGCCGCTCACTCTGTGTCAATGGGCGCAGACAGGGCTGCTTGGGAGCGAGCCTGCATGGGTGCCCACATGGAAAGCAGCTTTTCGGTGGGGGCACCCGTTGAAGAGGAGGGCCAGTAGAGCCAGCGGGGGACCCGAGAAGAGGAGAATCAGGGGCTGCTCTGTTCAAAAGCATTGCACAGAGCAGATAAGTATAGACATGTTTGTTATTTTAATTTTAAAAACATAAAGTTGCCTTAAACTTAAAATTGCTAAAATAAATGTCTGAAATAAAAAGTTCCCTGCTTGCAGCGTATCCTTCTGATCTCTAGTGAAGAGGAACTACTAACTGAAGAATCTTCATAATGCAACACTTCCAGGAATGTTAAATCCCTGCAGTGTGCAGTGGGGGACCAAGAAATCGGCAATTTGGGAAGTGTCAGATTCTGAAGAATCTTCAGTCCATTGTTTCTCATCACTATAGCAGGAATCAAAGGTGTGGACAGCAGGTGAGTATTTTCTGTCTTTTTCGCAGGAAACACTTTATTTTAGATATTTGTTTTAGCAACAGTGATGCTTTAATGCTGAACTTCAAGTATAATTAAAAGGAGGGTGTTGTAGATCTATTGGAAGTGGATCTTGGGTGGTTTAGTACCGTATGGTCATTGAGGTTTGGAAACATATGTCTGCTTCCATTGTTCCCTTAAACATCCACCAGTTTCCATGAATATATATATACTTGGACAACTTCAATCAGTGCTGCTTTTTTTGCTCCCACACCTGCCCCAAGGGAAGACATTGTTTGTCTCAGCCACCGCATCCCCCCACTGTGGTTAGGGACCTACGGATGGTTTGTTTTAACTGCACTGCCCATATCTCCTGAAGAAGTGTGGTTAAGGCGCTTTACCCACTCAGGGTCCGAGGACATTGGGCTTAAAAAAAGCGTTTTCAAAAGTTTTGTGCTTTGCCTGTAGAAGCATCTCCATGTTCTCCTATGTGTCCATACACACTAGGAGGTTTAGAGGCACATTTTAAGCTCAGCTTATAGAGGCATAAAAAAACCCTTCTGGTTAGAGTTTTTAGAGGAGTTTTCTGTCTGAAAAAAATGCTAAATGCCTCTAAACATCTGTACAAAAATGCCCTATATGAGCCTTTTTCTGCCAAGGGAACTAGCATTTTTAGGCCCAGTGTGCATGGACCCTGACACAGGTTTTCTCCCAGCAGCATGAATGGCACCCACAGCTTCTTCTCGTCGCTGCTCTGTCAATTACAGGCATTGTAGAGAGGAAGAGAGGGCCCAAGAGAGGAAGCTGAGGGCCCATCTACCTGGGGCATCAGAGGAAAGAGAAGAGCACTGGCTGCTGGGGAAGTGAGGGATAAGGTGAACAAAATTGCTATTTATGTCCCCCCCCCCAGACAAAAACGAGTATTTAACCCTTGCAGTGCGGGATAAGCCCCACTGCAGCTGTAACTTTGGACTTTAACCAAAGTTCAGCTTGACAGTACATGACATAACATTTCTAACAGCAGGGGAATGCTGCTATTTGAAACCAATATTGCTGCTTCAATCATGAATTGTAGATGTGTAGCCATAAAATAAACATTGTCTCATATTTTGAATGATTGTAAGTGATTGTATCAATGATACTAATTTGCAGGCGGTATGTCACAAAATACGAAAGACTGCCCTGCGGCAAGTCGTATGTGTCTCGGAAAGGAAAAGTACAGAATGTGGCAGGTTCTGAGCTTCCTCTTCATCAAGAGAACTCCAACATGTGCAGGGAAGTGTTTGCAGAGCAAGATTCCTCAGAGAGCTGGTTCTGATGGTTACCAGATACATTCCATTTTGCTGAACCAGTGGTTCTCACTGGAGGGTTGTGTATGTACTGTATGTGTTTAGTGCATGCATCAAGTTTACATATTTACATGTATTTAAGTCATTTGTAAAGTGTTAAACAATAAAGAAATTGTTGAAGGTTACGACGTGCACTAAAATTGTAGTGAGTGTTCTGTTTTTGTTCCCTGCAGTATAATGATTATAGCCATACTAGTGCACGGTTCCAACAACACTGCTGAGTATTGTCCATGATACTTTTTTTTTGCATTAAGAGCTACATTTTCAGGGCAGGCTTTCTTCTAAGGCAGTGGTCTCCAAACTGCGGCCCTGGGGCCAGATGCGTCCCTTTGCTTGCTTTTATCCAGCCCTTGGGGCACTATTTCATCCACTGATACCAACAATGGGCCATATGTTTCCCCCGCTGACACCAATGACAGTGAACAATTTCTCTCAAAACACCAATGGGCCATTATCCCCCCCCCCCCACCTGAAACCAATGATGGGGCACCATTCCTTCCAATGACACAAATGATGGGGCACTGTTCTTTCCACTGACACCAAAGATGGGGCATTTTTTTTTCCACTGATGTTGGGACCTTTTTGACTTCCAATGGCCACACCCCCTTCTGACACCAATGAAGGGGCGGAAATTCTCCCAATGACATCAAAGATGGTGTGCTATTCCTCCCAATAACACCAACAATGAGGTCCAATGACACCAACAATGGTGCGCTTTTCCTCCCACTAACAACAAAGATGCAGCATTTTTTATTCCCACAAACATTGGAATCTTTTCTACAGAGTACGGCACCCCTAACATCTGAAGGACAGTAAACTGGCCCTTTGTTTAGAAAGTTTGAAGACCCCTGTTCTAAGGCGTTATCATTGGGCTCCAAAGCTCACTCTGAAAAATGTGACTTTTAGTGCAAATAAAAAAGCATCACGGGCCATACTCAGCTGACTTGCTCTCTGCAGTAGAAATATTGAGGTTTATTTACTAAAGCTGGAGAGTGCAAAATCAGGTTCACATCTGCATAGAAACCAATCAGCTTCTAACCTCAGCTTGTTCAATTAAGCTTTGGCAATAAAACCTGAAAGCTGATTGGTTTCTATGTAGAAATGAGCCTGATTTTGCACTCTCCAGTTTTAGTAAATAAACACCAGTGGTTGTGACACTTACAAGTGTTAATTTTACTCCCGGCATTGTAAAGATTCGGTTGTCCTTATGAATACTGGGGCGCAATGAGAAAAACGGATGTGCAAGTAAAGCTCATGGCAACTAATGAAATTTATCCTTTATGTTTACAGAAGGATACGTCCTGTTCAGTTGCTGATGAGAACTGATTTTTGTCTTATTAAAGAAGCCTAGCTATTCTGCTTGCTTAATAATCATTAGACTGGTTCTAAAGTCAAAATAGTTTTGTACCTTAATGCATTCTCTGCAAAAATGTCCCCACTTCCTATCCCCCCCTTCACCCTCCTCATCCCTAAACATTTACCTGACTCCTCTCACCAATCCAGGGCTCTTCTGGTGGTAGCCCTGCTCTCATCCTGGTCTCACAAGAGATACTGAAGGCAGCAAAAGCCATAGAAAGCAGGGTGTGGATTACTGGTGCTGTGTGTATCAATGGACGCACACAGCCCAGATCGGGAGCATGCATTCAGGTGCCCACATAGCACATGGCTTGCTAAGAGGGCACGTAGAAAAATAAGGAGTGGACAGCGCCAGCAGGAAACTGCCAGAGAGGAGGTAAGAAAATTACCTTTAGTATCATTTTAACTATTGTAAAATTGTTATGATGGGAGTTTTGGTTCTTATTTGATCAAAGTGGTTTATTTAGAGCATCCATATTTAGTATGAAATCACAAAATATTAATGCAGTTTAAATGCTGATTCAGTGCAGAAGTCTGATGTTCCCTGCTCTTTGGGCCTATCGTAGCTTTTGCAGTGGCATCATTAAAAGGTGAGGCTCAGTAATCACCAGGTATCTGCAAATGGCAGCTTAAGCTTAGAGTGTATACTGGATCTCCCTGCTATTGTCATTAGGTACAGTACTTTTTGTTTCAGTCATATACTGTTTCATTGAGAGTCATCCCTTACTATATGGAGGATTTTTATACAAAAATATTTAGCATGCATTTCTCAGGAATGCATTAGTAGTGTACAGAAGCTAGTGAGGTTATGCAGCTAAGCTATCTACTAACAGTACTGGTTCAGGGGAGTGATATTCACTATAATTCGTATAGAATTATAGTGAATATCACTCCCCTGAACCAGTACTGTTAGTAGATAGCTTAGCTGCATAACCTCACTAGCTTCTGTACAATGTCCAATAGCATGCAAGTTTCGAAGGTGAAAGGTTCCAGGGACAAATCATCCAAAGTACATTGAAGTAAAATTGGGTAACAAGGCTTTGTGTAAGACCATAGAAAGCTGTAAATGCCATATAATAATATTCCTGCTGGATATATAAAGTTTATGAAACTGAATACACCCTGAAAGAAAAAGTCAACTTAAGCTGGCCATAGATGGATTGCCATTTCCGCCAGTGCTGCATGGACTGGATGAAATTTGATCAATGTGTGGGCAACTCTTTTTGACAGAAGTCGATCATGTTTTGGAAAGGGAATGTTGGAAAACTATTGTTGATCGGCAGCTACAGCTGTATTTTTACAGTGGAGAGTTCTACTGTCAAAATGCAGTGTCGCAGCAGGGCACTTTCCTTCATCGATCTCACTTTTTTTTTCTGTTCAGCCCACTATAACCCATCTATGGACAGCTTGAGTCACTAGTATTAAGAAAAAAAAAAGTATGTATCAGGTACACAAATGCTATCACCCACATTTTGTATAGTGAACTAAGTAATTTTGTTCAAATGATATTCTATAAATGAACTGGGTTTTAGTATGTGTTTAATATGTTTTAATATGTTATGCTTTAGTTTTAACTCAGTAGGAGATTTATTTATAATAGAGTAACAGCAAATATTTTACATGTACCCAGCCGTATTGTTATATCTATGTATACAAAATGTACATTAATAAATTATTTGCATGCAGTTTATCACTGTATTAGCAATTTAGATGGCTGAAACAGAAACACATACCTTTTTAAGTGTAACATGAATTAATAAAAACTTGAAAATAAATTAAACTGTAAAATGTTTCTGACTTTCTCATTTTAGTTTTTGCTAGAAAAATCATTTAGATATTAAGCCTTGGTAAGTTAGTTGAAACACCTTACATATTTATTTATATTTATACATCAAAGTCATGTATTAGAGTATCCTTGGACAAATTATTTCAGTTTGTTGGTAAGGTTGCCCAGGGTGGTATATTGGGAGTGATTTTAATGTAATAGGAAATAATAGTTTGGATAACAATAATAATTCCAATCTGCTAAACAATTTTATTAATTGAATTTAGAGCTTTGAAATATGAATACTGCTGAGATAGTTATTCACTTGAAAACATTTTTTTTCTGGTTATTTTATTATTCCATCTACATGATATCTTCTCAAGACTGACTACATTTCAACCAGATATTCAGCCTGATTGATTAGCTTTATCTACACAAGTACCTAGTACATAATCTGGTTGAATAAAAGTACATATCTATCAAGTTCACCCAAAACACAAAAATGAATAAACTGAAAACATTGCATACTCAGAAAATTAAAGCAGAGCTCCAGTCTTCAGTGAAAAAAAAAATAAAAGTCAAAATGGTACAAAAATGGTAGCTGCTGACTATTAAAAAACAGCCACTCACCTGTACTGCGATCCAATTGTGTCCTCACCTCAGCCGGGTTCTCCAAACATCCCTTGTGCCGGCATCTTAAGTGTGGGCACCTGGCTGTGACAGCTTGCTACTTCACAGCCGAGTGCCCACTGCGCATGCACGAGAAGCACTGCGCCTTGTGAATGGTCCCGCAGTCTTATGGGACCTATTGCATGATCCGGAAGGCTGCGGGGATGGGGAAGAAGAAGAACTTCCGTTTCGGATCACCTAGTTGATCACAGCGGAAGTGGGAGCTGGTGCCTGTCAAAATCGGCTCCCCCTCCGGCTCCCCAAAGGTGCCTATCCTTAAGAGCTGATTCACATATACGCGGTGCGGATTGAAGGTCAGGTTTCACAGCTAATTGATACAGTAGCTGTTCCCGGGTCCAGGTCAGGTTTACATCAGGTTCAGGACAGGTTTAGCTCAGGATCTTATCCTGTTCAACACATATGCAGTTTAGAAACAGTTCCCATAGAAGTCAATAGCCTGTAATCCACACCTGAACCTGAAGCCACTGCTCAGAAATCGTACAGGACTCTTTTTCAAACCACACTGAATCCGCACTGAATCTGCACCACCAGAGCACCAGACATAAGTGAACAGGCACCAGAGGAAGCAATGTTATTTCACAAGTCATGCAGATTGGATGTGGTTCAAACCGCATCCAATCTGCATATATGTGAACGGGCACTAACGGGGAGCAGGGGACAGGTCTTAAAGCGAAACTTCCCCTTTTGGGTGGAGCACCGCTTTAAGTTGGCCATACACTGACAGATAGTTCCAGTCCTCTTTAGATTTTTTTTAATTATATTGTGATGTATTGTATTTTAGCAAACTAATTGTAAGCCTTTGTTATTCTTGTTAAAGTTGCAAAAAAAAAATCCACCCTCCTCGCCATCAAAATGAAAATTGTGAATTTAGTTGTGGATGCATATTACAGATCTTTTAGATCTCTAGACAGCCCATAGCTTCTTCCAGAAAGAAAACCTTTACTGAAAGAATAATGGGAGGTTACCACTGCTGACCTCCTCCTGGAAATGTAAGTTTCCTTGCTGTGACAGGTTTAAATACTATTCTGAGTCAATGATCTGAAACAAGCATACAGATTAGAAAGTCAGACTGAAATCAGAACTCTTAATCATACCTGTTCCATATTTTGTGCTTAAGAATGTTCTGAAGCTATTTCATACGCATAATAGCCAGGTATC